GCTGGCAGTCAAATTATTTTAATGAACATCCATTCACTTGATTGTGTTTGATACTCAGAAGCTAAACTACATTATTTCAGATGATTTTGTAAATAAATTATGTAAAAAAGGTCACCTTTATTACCAAGGATGTGGGAATTTTACATTGCCATAATGACAGCACACTTAGCATTTGAGAAAACCAGAAGATATGGATTATTGCCAGAGGGTGGGAACAGAGAGATCAAAAAGTCAGAAAGATTTCTCATTTTCACATGAACTTTCTGGAAAAAAAAAGCAACAAAACAGATCTAGACAAAGAATGTCGCAGGAGAGTGAAGTGATCTTCAATCCTTTGTCCTCTGGGCCACTCTGCTGATCATCAGGACAACGGCTTGATGCTGGCCACTGTATTCTCTTTGACTTCACACTTTACATTGCTTCGTCTTCAATTTGTCAACTGGTCTGCACAGTTACTGCACCCTGAGAATACTGCAATAACCATTGATCACATTCTTCAAATGATTTACATCCATCCATTTATCCATCATAAACACCTGGAAATGAACTTTTTTTAACATGAGACAAAGGCTCCTCAAAATTAGCATCATTTTCACAAAGAATTTGCAGGAGGATGTGAGAATATAATATTTGCATTAGATGAATTTGCAAACATCTGTTCCTTGGAGAGTAATTTCTTTTATTAACACAAATTAACTAGTTAAAATATATGGTGTAGACATAAGAAAGAGAAGAGGTTGTTTCCCTGATCAGCTTCTCAGATATGAACTGGAGGGAGGGACACAAGAATTGAAGCATTTGTGGGGAAAAGCCAAAAACACTGCAGGATGAGTGATTTCACTACAAGCGTACAGAAATTGCTCAGGCAGCTGAGATGCATACAATAATGGTTTTTCAGTCTTCGTTGTTTCTCTCTTCTCGTGGTGCTCTCACATACAGCCAAGACAACTCTTACCATCTACAAGTTTTTCAAAAAGTATTTAGCTTCTTTGCCAAGGACTAAAAGAGGTGTGCAGTCATTATCATAATAGGAAGCAGGAATCTAAACAGATACTACACATAGTACTTAGAAATCTAGTGCCTCTGATACCTGCCATATTTTCATTGTACAATATATCTCTATACCTGTGAAAACTGTGGAACTTTATGAGGGCTTGGCAGCTACACAGTGTTTTAAAACCTTGCTTTTCCACCTTCCAAGGCTGAGACATTAAACCAGAGTTTCAGAGCATCGCTGCCTCAAGGAAAGAATTCAGTATGAAGTGAGCTGCTGCCGTTGGACCAGTTTCCCAGCATTTTCAGTGCAATTATAAAACAAGGTTAACCAAAGAAGGATTGCAAAGTAGCAGAGGATACAGCTGTACATGAGAAAAGCAAGTATTTTGCATGTTAAAATATTCACCCTGGTGTCTAATGCTATTTAAACAACGAGCAGCATGTTTCAAGCAGAGATGTACTGATAAGTAAATTAAAAGGGATATGAGATTCTGTACTAAGTAGTAAAATCTAGAGCATTTGGTAATTCAGCTGGGCAGGTAGGAGTAGGCTGAGAAGCACGTAATAGATCAGGAAGAGTCATTTGGTAAGAACAAGAAAGAGAAAGAGCATCAGAACAGGACTAATCTGCAGTCAGAAAAGCAAGACATTTAGAAAGAACAGCTAGGTAGAGAAAGCATACAACTAATTTCAGAAATCTGTTTTTTTAAAATATTAGGAGTGAAAAAGTGTAATGGCACATTCAAAGACAGGGACTAATTGTTTAATAAATTGCTTACAAGTAAAACATTGCATAACAAGCAGAACAGACCCATGATCGATATGATCGAGGCTCCTGCTTTGGTTTGACTGTAAAGTCACAATGTGACCTTCCACTCGTCACTCCGGGCCAGATCCAATAAAGGACTCAGGCACCTTAAGCCTGACTTAGGCAGATTTGAGGTGCCTAAATCGCGCAGTATGACCTAAACATGCTGCTTTGTGACTTATTAACCCCAGAGGAACTTGTCACCCCAAAAGGGAACATGTATTTACTGCTCAGCTCTTTGTGCACACACAGTTTGGTCAGCAAGAGCATTCTGTGCTACCTTCTAGTGGGCTACCACCACTCTGTCTGCGCTGCGCTCATAAGTTTTCTTTATGTGGAAATGTGGTAAAAAGGACAACTAATGCAGGCTGGGACTTCAGTGTGTGCTCAGGATCCATCTGTCCTCCTTTTCTTAAGAGCAGAGTGTCACAGCTTCAACAGGAAGGTCACAATAACGTCTCAGCTTAGCTTGAGCAGTAGCCTGGAAATGGCAAATGTATATCCACGCATGTGTGATCCTCTTCCCTGTCCTTGACTGAGGAGGAAAGTGAGAACAGGAGCGCTCGTCCCACTTTAACCCACTTTTTGTTTCATGGAAAACATTTGTTTCTTGGTGGGACCTACACCTATGAGTGAGTTTCAGGTTCTGGATCTGAGGAAAATATTTCTCACAGCCCCATCATGACCTAAGATGAAAAGACATGGAGTACAGATCCTTAACCTTACTTAGCCAAAATTGCTGTCTGATGCAAAATGGGGATAGAGTTAATAACTGAAATTCAATTTCATTCAAAATCTAGGCAGGAAGCGAAGTCATTGAAGATATTGTGATAACTAAAGGCAAGGTGTCATTAAAGACGGAATAACTTGTGAAAATACTACAAAATACAAACACTCCATAGCAACTCCTGTAGGAAGCTGAGAGACCTGTGGCTGTTCAGCTTGGAGAAGGCTGAAAGGTATCTCACTACATTAATAAACATCTGAAGGAGTCAGGTGGGTGGAAGTGGGCACATTTTAGTGGTGTGCAGCAACAGAACATGGGGCAATGGGCAGAAACCAGAGCACAGGGAGTTCCATACAAACACAAGAAAAAACTTTATATTTAGGGTGGCAGAGCAGTGGAGCAGGTTGCCCAGAGAGGCTGTGGAGTCTCCTTCTCTGGAGTTACTCAAGATATGTATGCTTACTTGAGTGGCCTATTGTAAGGAATCTGTTTTAGCAGGGGTGTTGGACTAAGTGATTATCTCCAGCCTTTACAATTCTGTGGTTTTTGGAAAATGGAATAGCCAGAGAGAAAAGTATGAAAAAAACAACTACATTCTCTGCTTCAGTTTAGCACTTTGAATATTTGACGTTATCAGTGAAACCTAATTCATAAATTATTTAATTCATTAATTAGGTTTAATTCATAAATTAGGCTTTTGTATCATTTTTGCAAAGAGCGGTTTCCTAAAGAGTGATGATATAATCATGGGGAATCATTTTGATAGTGAATTGCACAAGTAAAAAAAAAACAGATAAAGTAATTTTTGAGTTAACTCACACTGAACTGCTCATTCTAAGAAAAAATCCTGTTGTTTCATGGCTCTTATAATTCCTTTCTTCCCTTTCATTTTCTGTGATAACTTCCTGAAAGCGAAATAGAGGAACAGAAACCTATGTTGGAAGTGTTAGGACTATAAATAGGAGCATGAAAAAGACAGGTGCTGCAAAAGGAATATAAATTATTAGCAGTAGCTGAGCTGAAAAGCACTGAGTTTTAGACCAACACCACTTTGGAGTCTGAATAGCAACATTATCTCGACCGCACTGCACTTACTGCACATTATATACTTTGCTGTCTAAAAACTGCTGAACATATATAACGCATCTAAATTAAAGGTGACCTGGGAAGAATCAGTCATATGCCTTTCTTCTTAATACTGAATGATGATCTCAAATAGCACAATCTCTGTGGGTTTGCTTTTTTTTTTTTTTTTTTCTTTCTGCATATGTAAGTTGTACTAAAAGTTTACGTTCTCTTTGGTCTGGAAGGATTATGCAGTGTCTGAAGAGCGACTGAACGGTCAGGATCCAAAGGAGGGACAACTGACCAGCTGTGGGCTCAGCCTGGTGACACAGAGCAGTCGGCTTGACTGACTGCTGCTTAAAGGAGTGGATTTTCAGCCTGACTGCACAAAGCGATTTGTTTGCTTTATTTAAAGTTGACTTTTTAGTTACATCTTGAATTTTATGGCAGCATCAAGTTCCAGTTAATTTTAGAGGAAGTATTTAGCTTAAAGCCGGGGTTTAGTTATGTTGAATCATGGAAAGCAATATTCAATTTGTTTGAGGCTACGTACAAGACTTCAGCAAAGCCGAGTGAGTCCCTAGGTGTCCCTAAATCTACGGCGGACATGAAAGCACAACAGTCAATGGAAACTTCTGCACATCCCCTCACTGTAATCCCTTCTGCTCGCTTTGTCGGGGCTGTAACGCTCTTTGGAAGCCAAGATGTCTTTCTAACGGCTCTCAGCCCGAGGACAGCCATCCCTCAGCTGCCGGCGCGTGAAGGGCTGCACTCCCCCAGTTCTGCCTGGCTCAGGGCTGCAGCTCGCTCCGCCGCGCTGGCAGCGGTTGTTTCCCCACAGTGTGAGGCGGGCGGGGTCCCAACGGGAGGGCGCTCCCCAAAAGGGCGCGGCCGCAGTTCCCCGCCGCTCTCTGCCCGCTTCCCATGGCCGGTACGGCCGTTGCGAGTGCTGAGGTGAGGAGGGAGGGGCGTCGCCGCGCGCATGCCCGCCCGCCCGCCCCGCGTGACGTGCGCGGTCGGGGCAGCCCGGCCGAGATCAAAGCGGGCGCGGGGCGAGCCGGGTCGGGCGGTGGCAGCGAAGGGAGCGGTGCGGGGCTCGCCCGCCGGATAAAGTCCTGGGCCGGCCCCGCGGGGCGGGCGCAGCGAGGGGCGGGAACGCTGCCGGTCGGGTGCGCTGTCGGAGGCGTTGTTCCTCTGCGCCTCCTCCTCCCCTCGAAAGCGTCGCGGCAGCCGCGCTGTGGGGCATGAGGGGCCGCGGGGCACGGCGCCGCAGCGGCGGCGGTCAGCGCACGGCTTAGCCGGGACGGCGAAGAGCGGCGAGGGAACGGGCGCGGCTCCCTGCATGTGGCACGCGAGGAGAGCCGGGCAGCCCGGCGGCAGCAGAGAACAGCCGGCCGCGCGGTCCTGAGCGCCGGGCAGCGGCGACCGGCCGCCCGCCATGGATTGCAGCCTGCTCCGGACCCTCGTGAGCCGATACGTGAGTACCGCCGCACGGCTACGGAGCTTCCGACGGAGTCCCCCCGGGGCGCCCCTTCCGAGCGCGGCACGGTAGGGATCGGGGCGGCCCTCTGCCGTCGGTGTGAGCGGCTGCAGGCAGCCAGGCCCCCAGCAGCAGCGGCTCTGGGCTCTGGGCTCTGGGTGACGTCCCGAGCTCGGTCGCGGTTCCACTGCTTGTTCCGATGGCTCAGTCCGGCTGTGTTTTGCGGAGCTGGCCGGCTTAAGTAGGCGGGCGAGCGCTCAGAGTAATCCGCTCTGCCTGTAGATGCGTGCGGTAGGATTCGGGAGCACCCAACTTGCTTCGGGGACGGAGAGTTGACCCTAGTTGCTGTTCTCCCGGCGCCGAAACAAAGCAGTACTGCTTTAGAAGTACACTACACTTCCAGGTGTAGAACGAGGTGCGTGAAGCACAGATCCCTGTGATCCGAGGGCTGGGAACGGCCAACAAGCAGGAGGATGCGCGATGCTGCTTTTGGGTGCAGGAGAAACTTAGAAACAGTTGGGAAGTGATGTTGCAAAGAGGCAGTGGGGATTTCCATATGCGCACAGCTCTTTCTCTCTTGCAGGAAATGCTGTAAGTCAGGAAACTTTCTTGCTCGGACCATACCTGTGTTTGGTCAGAACACTCTAAGTTTTGGATGTGTTGAGTTCTGTTCATGTTATGCATGCTGAGTTTTCCTTTCTCGTTTACACATAAATGAAAAAAAAAAAAGATCCGGTGGGAAATAATACTGGATTTTGTTTGTTGTTTGCGTTGCTCTGTGGGATGAGGAGAGAATAGGTGAGTACCGAATGCAGCGATGTGTATAGGGATCCTTAGAAAGTAACCCCGAGGGGAGGAGGAAGTACTATAAGAACGATGAGGTGTGAGAGAAGAAGTCTCTGTGGATGTGCAGCGCTCTAGTGAGCTGTGCTGGGCTCTGTTTAGAAATAAGATCAGTCTGAGTACACTGATCTGGCACTGCTGATCTTCATGTGGGGTTTAGCTGAAGATTTCTTGTGTTCTTGCAGCTGAAGCCTGTACAAATACTCCAAAAATCATACCACGTTTGTTGTGTGTAGAGCAAACTGTGATTTCTAGGCATTTTCTGCGGAACTTTAGCTGTAACCTCTCTTTCAAACTGAGCATCAAATGTGGCTGAAGCGAACTTAAGATTAGCTGTAACTTTTATTTTAAGGGACAAAGATTTACCTAGGAAGACAGCATGTTGGAAAAAGTAAGACACTTGAACTTCTAAGTTGCAGACCATCATCATGCTCCTGCACTGCTGATGAGGGTAATTCAGTGGTCTAAAAGCCTGATGAAACAGCCCTTGTGAGGAAAAATTTCCTAGATCATGTTGCTTTCTGCATTATGTGTATGCTGAGTAGGCTGTGCCTGGGTAACTGTCTGGCTGTTCCAAGCTGCCTTATATATTCTCACCTGTTGCTTGTTCTTTTTACACTGTTTTTTCCTCAGTCATCTTGTCAGTTTTTTCATCTATCTATCTATCTATCTTATATAGCCATGCATGTGCAGGCACTTCAAGAACACAGTGATGAAGAAGTCAGCCTCAGTGGAAGATAAAAGGCTGGATGTGATCAATCTCTGTAGCTAAGGCTTACAAATATAAGTACAAATATAAAATAGCATGTTTTTTTTTTTTACAATTCTCTATTAAGACATCCACAGAGCTAACTTTTATAAAAACACAACATACTGCGTAAGTTTTATTTAGGGATTTAATTTATATACCACAAATACTGCCTTTAATATAGGTACAATATAATACAGTTCTGTTTATTTGACTGCTGGTGTTCACTTTGGATCATGAACTCAATGGCATGCTGTGCTGTCAAAACTTCAATAATAAAATGGCCTCTAGTTAAACTTCTCCAAAGTATAAAATCATGCAAAATGTACATCCTATATGATACAACCAGTACAATAATTGAAGCCAATAGCCTGCAATCAGCCTGGACCGTGTATATATATATATATATATGTATATATAAAATATATATATATGTATTTTTTTTTCTTCCAAGGGAAGAACACTTTGGAAAAATCTGTCCTCAGGGATCATTATTTCAGTAAGGCTATTAAATCTGGCAAGCTGATTACTGTATTGTTTTGTTTCTTTTCTCCATGGTTCGTCTATTTTTATACAGCTACAGCAGTGAAAATGAAAATTAATAGTTTAAATGCTGTGCCTGAAACTGACTGCTGTAACTGAGGAACAGATGTACATGTCAGCAGTGTCTCTCAATAGTTGTTCACCCGAGCTGTGTACAAAACAGTTATGGTTCAGAAGTGTGGATGTGCTTCCCTTTTTCCAAGCTACTTTGTAATGAGGGAGAACAAGCAGTGGCACTTATGCAGGAGTCATAGAGAAAGATACAACACCAAAGTATACCAAAGTAAGCTCGTACTTCAGATTATTTCTAATCTATGCAGAGACTATTCAGCAATTGATGGTCTAGAACTATGAATTGTCATTTTCCAGGCTGCACTTGGGACTTGGTTAGCTGTGGATCTTCCTGAAGCAGAGCAGTCGCTTCTTGAAGGAAGCTGGAGATGCTGTTGGGGTCATTGCGTTGTATTGATGGAAGCTTCTAATGCAGTAGTGTCTGAGTCAGGTGTAACTGCTTTCCTTTCTCCCTGATACGTGTTGTAGGGCATAAGTTAAATACCATTCAGGACAGTTCATGTCCTGAATGTGCTGAAAGGTTTTCCTGCAACCCCCCCTCTACCCCATTTTCTTTGTTATTGCAGTCACTGCCCTGAGGCAATGCAAAATAGTTCATATCTCAAAGGCTGTATGGAAGCATAGTGATGGCTGGGTGCTGCCAGGTCAAGCTGATGTCAGTTTCCTGATTTCCTGAAATGATTCCTGCATTTTCTAATATGTATGCTATTCACCTGCACTGTTTTCTATTTGTTTGTACCTTCCAGACATTGGAACCCTCCAGTGACATGGTTGAGTCAGACCCATGTTCAGCATGCTGGTCATACCATACCTTGCATCTCTTTACTGAGAGATGGAATAGTCTCCTGGAAGGACAGAGGCAGTGATAACGTTGTCTTACGCCGTTTCAAAATGGATATTGTGGTGTTCTGCCTCCTTATATCCATCCTGCAGATTTCTTTGATTTTTGCTCTCGTCCTTTCTGTTTTCGTTGGCTGCAGCCATACAAAATTTATAGGGCTGTTGGGGAAGAAAACTTGCTGTGCAGAGGATGTCTGTTTCATTGCAGTGCAGTTGATCTAATGTTCAGAGTAGTTTTCTAAGCGCTTCTTGATCCTTTGGTCTGAAATAGAGCAGTGCAACTTCTTAATTGGGTTTGAGAATGTCTATATGTTTTGCTGCTTCAAATTGTATCCACTGTAGTGGTGGCATCTTTAAATAATGAAGTAGAAAAACCTTTATATACAGCTTTCCACCACATGAAAGCAATGGCAACTGAATAAAGCTTTCTGTAATGAGATAAATGTTGGTCGTTTTTTTAATTTAATTTCCCAAAGAAGGGAAATAGTGATCCTGTGAATACTGTTTAAAAAACAAAAAAAAACAAAAAAAAACAAAAAAACAAAAAAACAAACAAACAAAAAAAAAACCCTTTGGGAGTAGAGGTGGGGGTAAAAGGTTTGATATCACACATTCTTTATTAGAGTATAATCTGTATTTCTGAGTGGTGCTTTTGCATCAGGTGTCGTGCTGCTGTCTTACCTTTGGCTTGTTTGTGTGTTCCCTGGGAGATGGGTGCTACCCCACAGTGGGCAGCCTCCCAGTCTGAGAAAGCTGAGTTAATGCATGCTGCCAGTGAGTGCCACGCAGAGCCTGCCTCTGTGATCAGTGATGAGCAGAACTGGTCAGTTTAGCATTAAAAGTATACGTTATTTAGGGGCGAGTAGGGGGAGGAAACAAGCATATCATCATAATCAGTGCTGTGTCCATAGATGATTGGTGACCTTTAGTATTAGATTGGATTATTTGGAATACTCGCTATGTATTATTAAGCAACATGTTTTGTCCATGTAACTGGTGTTACATTAGCTTTGTCTTTTAATTTGTGCTGTGGGGGCGAAGGGCTTTGCTAAACTCAGGGCTTCTGAAGTTCTTCGGAAGAGATAAGTTGAGAGATAGCTAATATCTTTAAAACAAGTCTCAATGCCATCATATCTCTCATAAAATAAGCACTATTTTTCGTCTGCTTAATGAAATGTGCGCGAGTGCCTTGTGCATTCATAATAGCTGCTTATGGCAGACTGTGGATTTGCGTATGCATGAATATTGTTGACTTGAATATGCCTGGGCAACCTGGAAAACATCACTCTTAGCATATATTTCTTTGAGCACCGGATGGTCCCTCACCATCTTGTGGCAGAACGTGACGGTCTGTTCTGAATCTGTAGGGCAGCTGGCCCCTCGTCAGGAAATGCTCCTGCCCAGGGCAATTGCTTTGAATTGTATGGTAAATGTTATTGGGCCAGCACTGCATTACTGAGCACCTCTGCCTCTATTATGTAGTATGCTTAGAAATCCTGCCACTGTATTGCTTCCCCTCTTGTTCTTATACTACTTTAGGAGTACAAACCTGGATGTTATGTATTTGTTGCCTGTGTAAGTATTTCTAAAGTATATAGCAACATATAAAGATTCACTTTAAAAAGAAAGAATGGTTTTCTACAGTTCTGGCCTCTGGAAACCTTCTGGTCTATTAGTTCTGCAGGTGGTTCTGAAAAAATCTTCCTTTGGGAGGATGCAGTAAATGAAATTACAAAAAGGATGCTTTATTTTTCACTTCTTTAGAAGGAGTGGGTTGACTTTACTTGTAGTTTAAGGAGGTGATTGACTAATCTGGCCAGGAAGTTACATGAGGATTTTCTTTTTCAAAGCACGTTCACTGCTAAATCATGAGAGCCTGTGAATTTTGGTTAATAGTTCAGACAATTGTTGTTTCTTTTTTCAATATAAATCCAAAACTGTTTTCTAATTA